AATAATAAAATCGTCATCTGAAAATTTTTTCATAAACACACAATGATCAGATGTGGTTCTATCATAACCTTAGCTCATCATAAAGGAATCAAACTTCTTGTACAATTGTCTAGGTGCCTGTTTGAGTCCATATAAGCTTTTCCCAAGCTTACACATCATATTTTCTTTTCCCTTGACTTTGAAACCTTCTAGTTGCTCCATGTAAATTTCTTCTTCTAAGTCACCATGAAGAAATGCTGTTTTTACATCAAGTTGCTCAACTTCTAAATTCAAGCGGGTAGTCAAACCAAGAACAACTCGGATAGAGGACATTTTCACAACTAGATAAAATATTTCTTCAAAGTCAATACATTTCTTCTGACTGAATCCTTTCACAACTAGTCGTGCCTTGAATCCTTTCACAACTAGTCGTGCCTTGTATCTTTGTTGTAAGCTATTATTTTCAGTCTTCAATTTATAAACCCACTTATTCTTGAGAGCTTTCTTCTCTTTAGGCAATTTTACCAAGTCATAGGTGTGGTTCTCAAGCAATGATCTCATCTCTTCTTGCATGGCTTTAACCCACTCATTCTTATTCTCATGTAGAATAACTTCTTGATAAATTTCTGGCTCTCCCCCGTCAGTAAGCATAACATACTCATGTGGAGGATATCTGGTAAATGGTTGTCGCTATCTAGTGGATCTTCTCAATGAAATCTTAACTGGTGGTGGAGGTGCTTGTTCAGTTGGTTCAACATCATCAACTATAGGTGTATCATCACTAGTATTCTCACCATAATCTTCTTGTTCATCTCCCCCATGATCATTATGAACTACAGGTGGAGGAACTGGACCCAAACTCCAAGGAATATAAATAGAGGTTTCTGGCTTCTCAATATTATCACCATCATCAAACAATTGTTCTTTAAGAAACACATCTCTACTTCTAATAATCTTCTTGTTCACTGGATCTCATAATCTGTACCCAAACTCTTCATGACCATATCCCAAGAAGATACATGCTTTTGCTTTACTATCAAGCTTGGACCTCTTATCTTTGGGAATATGAACAACTGTTTTACACCCAAAGACTCTTAAGTGATTATAAGATATATCTTTTCCTCTCCATACTTTATCTGAAACATCACCTTTCAGAGGAACTAATGGAGAAAGATTTATCAGATCAACTGTAGTTCTCATAGCCTCCCCCCAAAATGACTTTGGTAACTTGGCGTGGGAAAGCATACACCTAATCCTTTCTTCAATGGTTCTGTTCATCCTTTTTGCCACACCGTTCTGTTGAGGAGTTTTAGGAACTGTTTTCTCAAGCCTGATACCATGGAACCTGCAATAATTCTCAAAAGGACCCCTGTACTTGCCATAATTATCTGATCGAATACACTTTAGTTTTCTGCCAGTTTCTCTTTCAACATTGACATGAAACTCTTTGAAAACATCAAGTACCTGGTCTTTAGATTTCAAAGTAAAAGCCTACACTTTTCTAGAATAGTCATAAATAAAAGTAACAAAATAAAGAGCACCTCCAAGAGTTTTAGTTTGTATAGTACAAACATCAGTATGAATTAAATCAATAACATCTGATCTTCTAGATGATGGATATGTATGAAATACAACTCTATGTGTTTTTCCAGCTAAGTAATGAACACAAGATTTAAGAGATGTACTTTGCAATTCTGGTAAGAACTGCTTTCTAACAAGAGTTTGAAGTCCCTTCTCGCTGATATGTCCAAGCCTCTTATGCTAAAGATCTATACTTTCACCTTTTTGAATTGCATTAATCTCTCCTTTGTGTAGCTTAGCTTCTATGACATAAAAAGAGTTAAGTTTCTTTCCTCTTGTCACAATCAGAGAACCTTTAGTGAGTTTCCATTTGCTTTCACCAAAATAGTGTGTAAAGCCCTCATCATCAAGTCTACCTGTAGATATCAAGTTAAGACGAATATCTTGAACATGCTTTACATCTTTGAGTATCAATTTGCTCCCAATACTGGTCTCCAAGCAAATATCTCCAATACCCACAATCTTGATATACTACTATTTCCCATTCTGACATTACCAAAATCACTAACAGTGTAAGATCTAAAGAAATCACCATGAGAAGTAACATGAAATAAAGCACCAGAGTCAATTACCCAATTACTGTCCTGAACTACAAGACTAACACAACCTTCATCACATACAATAGTAATATTACCTTCAGCAGCAACTGTATTAGTCTCTTTCTCATTTTTCTTCATTTCATTTTGTTCTCGCTTCCAAAACCTACACTATTTCTTTATGTGACCTAGCCTGTTACAGTGAAAACATTTGATATCTCTTCTAGACTTGGATCTTCCTCTGTAACCATATGGATTTCTACTATGACTTCTTCCATGTCTTTCTTGTTTTTCAGTAATAAATGTCCTAGAAGAAGATTCACCCTATTCTTTCCTTCTGGTATCTTCATTTAGCAAACTATCTTTAACCATATCTATAGTTAGAGTCCCCTCTAGCGTGGAGTTACAAATTGTCACCACATATATTTCTCAACTTTTTGGTAAAGAGCTGAGAAGTAGTAATCATTGCATCTCATCATCTATATTCATTTTCATAGCAACCAGCTCATTTGCAAGACTCTAAAATAGGTTTATATGCTTAACAATGTTACCACCATCTTTATACTTCAAATTTATAAGTCTTCTGAAGAGAGAAATTCTATTTCCCACTATCTTTTTCGCAAAGAGGTTTTCTAACCTTTGCCAAACAACATCAACTCTAGTTTCATAGAAAATATGCTCCTGCAAGTTTATATCGATTTATCTTCTAATATAGGCAATGACTTTTCTATGTTGAACTTCCCATTCTTTATCGTTCATAGTAGAAATTTTATCTTTAACCTTGATAGGCTTATACAAATCTTTGCAATAGAACAAATCTTCCATCAGACTCCTCCAAGTGGAATAATTTGATGAGTTCAATTTAATCATACCATCTGACTACTCCATTTCAATCACACAAGAAAAACTAGCACCAAACAACATGTTGCTCTTATACCACTTGTTGGGAAAAACCTGTTAAAGCAGAATATTCTTTTCCCTCTTTATGTATCAAAATGGGTTCCTCATCAAAATACCAACTTGATATCCAAATGGAAATATCAACCAGCATAGCATAAACAATAGAGCAAAAAATTAATCACACAGTGAGACCAAATCTTTTAACGTGGAAAACCCAATGTGGGCAAAACCACGAGACCGTAGTCCACCTCAAACTTCCACTATCAATAATAATGATAACATGTTTACAATAGGTCTTCTTTAGAATAACTAAAAGATTAGAATAACATCAAGAACATAGATCTTGGCTCTAGCATATGGATGGATATTTTCAAAAAAGAATTCTAGATCTCACAAAATGGATATAATAGAAAAGTACATTAGAGAGAGTAAACTGTAGATCAACATCATTAGGATTATAGAGTTTACTGTAAGGATTCTCTACATAAAATTTGGTCAAAACTGACAACGTTTGGCTATCGATCGTCAAACAGAAAACTTAGAAACCTAATCTTTCTCTCTCTTCTCTCTTCTTTTCTCTTTGTTATCGTGTGCTGCTGCCATTCACACCACGTACCAAAAACTTTCCTCTCTCTCGTATTTTGTTCTATCTCACATCTTTCTCTTTTAATTAGACTTATGACCCAAATTGTGCAAGCCTACATATTGATTGGACCCAACACTATAAACTTATAATTCATCACTATGTATGTAGTCGATCTATATTTCTGATTACAAACTGCTTATATAATGTGCTAACTATTACTGAGATGTTTTGGCAGAGATGCTTGATTTCTTGACCATGAAGAGCAAGTCTAAGTTCTGACCAAATTAGTCGAGGCATGACTTTGTTCCAAATCAAAGATGGATCAGAGTAATATCACTGGTTTGAGTTTGGCATTGGCTTGAGATCTCTAGAACATGTGCTGATCCCAGGCATCTTAAGATCTGCCTATTGCCTGCATAGGTTTTGCCTCGACAGCAGGCGTAGATGCAAAGGTCTTGTTTGGTTTTGCAGTGTCTGCAATTGCAAGGATTTTGTCACTCGGTTTATGCACTTTGCAATGCAGCTGCTATAGGCTAACTTTGGAGAGGATCAGCCACTGTATCTTTCTCATGCTGGAGAAAAAGCTGCAGTATTTGCGGAGAGAGTTAATAAAGTTGCAACATGTCTTTTCATATTAAGAGTAAACAGAGTATTTGCGGCTAATGATGTAGGCAGCATAGCTGCTTTCCTCTTTCCATGACAAATGCATTTGACAGAGAGACAAAGTGGCATCAAAACTCTGCTACCACTTTGCATCTCCTTTCCCTGTTGCTGCTTCCAGCCTTCCTACCCCATTGATGCACACAGTTGACATGTCGTCAAGCTCCGAAACAGGATTGTGGGATCTCCAGTAGAAAATTTAGGCTGTCTTCAAGCCAAAATCCCAGCAACTCCTGTGACCATGTGAATCACCGGACCAGCTTTCCTGGTAATTGCCACAAATGTGGTGGCATCCCCCCTCTCCATGAGCAGCCATGTCTGCGTTCTATGGATCCTACTTCCAGGTTGCAGTCAGTCAATGACAACTTTGATTCCTTGCTATACACCATCCATTCATCACCTTTTCAGAATTGGCAGCTGTTCCTACAACAACAGTAATTTCTCTTTTAAGTGCAACTATAACCTGTATGTCTCTTTCAAGAGAGAAGAAACGAAAAGGATGCAGTCAAAGAAGATTTGACTCCATTTGGTAGATAGAAGTTAATCCAAGGAATAGTAATCATGTTCATATTTGTTTGATAAAAGCACATATAATCTATGTAGAATCCATCATTTATATAATTCGTTTGCATGGTAGATTATGTGTATGTTTACCACAATGCCAGGTCAAAGTTTCTCTCTCTCTCTCTCTCTCTCTCTCTCTCTCTCTTTCTGTATGTATCGACCTCTCATTTCTTCTCTTCGCTTCTATTCTGTGTATTGTGTTCCACCGCGTAGGAGAGGCTGTTTTGCTGTGGTCTTTGTTGGCTACTGTTGCTACTTCTACCATCGCAGGGATGGCCATAGGAAACGGCGGCACCGGCAGCGGGCTCGTGGTGAGCTTCGGCGAGATGCTCATTGACTTCGTGCCGTCGGAGGCAGGGGTATCGCTGGCGGAGGCGAGCTCGTTCCTGAAGGCTCCCGGAGGCGCGCCGGCCAACGTGGCCATCGCCGTGGCGCGGCTCGGGGGGCGGGCCGCCTTCGTCAGCAAGCTCGGGGACGACGAGTTCGGGCACATGCTGGCAGCCATCCTCCGAGAGAAGGGCGTCTCCGACGCGGGCGTCGTCTTCGACGCCGGCGCCCGCACCGCCCTGGCCTTCGTCACGCTGCGGGCCGACGGCGAGCGAGAGTTTATGTTCTACCGCAACCCCAGCGCCGACATGCTGCTCACCGCCGCCGAGCTCAACGTCGATCTCATCAGAAACGTGCGCACCGCTTTCCCCCCTCCTTCATAGGCGAAGAAAGTTCCAATCTTGTTCTGCTCTGTTGAATCTCGCAATCATTTTGATGCAACTTCAAGATCTGAACGCTTGATTCGTCTTCTAATGAACGAGAAAAATATGTCTCTTTTATGACTAGATTCGAGCTTATGGATCCAAATGCCGACCCTAAACCTTTCTTGTTCCGTCAATCATTCGAATGATGTCTGATTCTTCCTGTCTTTTCTGTTCCTTTTCGTCAATCATTCAAATAAACTGTGATTATTGGATCATGTATCATCAGGGCGCAATCTTTCACTACGGCTCGATAAGCTTGATCGCGGAACCGTGCAGATCGGCGCATCTGAAGGCCATGGAGTTGGCCAAAGAGTCCGGGGCGCTGCTGTCGTACGACCCCAATCTCCGGCTGCCGCTATGGCCGTCGCCCGAAGAGGCCCGCAAGCAGATCCTCAGCATCTGGGACAAGGCCGACATCGTCAAGGTCAGCGGCGCCGAGCTCGAGTTCTTGACCGGCCATGACTCGGTGGAAGACGAAGTGGCCTTGCGGCTCTGGCGCCCAAGCCTCAAGCTCCTGCTTGTGACACTTGGCGACAAGGGATGCAAGTACTTCACCAAGGTATAGCGATCTCTTCACCGCCTCCTTCCACATTGTTGATGCCAATGAGCTCATCTTGTGTTGATTTCTCTTGGCTTTCCTATAAGGATTTCCGGGGGATCGTCGGGTCCTTCACCGTCAAGCAGGTGGATACGACAGGGGCAGGGGATGCATTCGTGGGCGCATTGCTGCAAGGAATCATCGAAGACCAGTCGGCCCTGCAGGTGAGCAAACATGTGGAGTCCTGTTGCTTCTGAATTGGTTTGCAATTGCAGACATGGATATATACTCATGTAATTAATTGTTTGATGGATTGCAGGATGAGAAGAAACTGAGGCAGGTTCTGCGGTTTGCTAACGCATGCGGTGCGATCACAGCCACCAAGAAAGGGGCAATCCCTTCGTTGCCGAGTGCATCAGAAGTCATGGAGTTCTTGGAGAAGGCATAGTATATGTTCTTAGATTTCTGTCATTTCCTCTGTTTTACAAACTTGCTGCAACTTTTTGTTTCAAGTCGACGAGGCTGTTTAGGAGAGTAATTCCTGTTGCACTCTGGATCATCTTTTTATGATTCCAATCTAGTTCTTCTCTCTATGAAGGTCTGATCTTGTAGTTGCCAACTCCAACAGTAGTTTATGTTCTCTACACTGAAAGACATCTTGTTTGATGCTTTGTGAGAAAGGCTTTGTGCTTTTATGCTACTGAACCAATGATTTCTTATAGATTTTGACCTCAATCTCCGGTTTCTCAGATCAAGCAAGCAAGGATTGCTTCAATTCCAATCACTATCGTCTTTTACTCGTATGGAAAATATTATGGATCTTATTTGAACATCGACGAAATGTACTGTGCAATGTATTTTACACAATGAAGTCTGTTAAACTTCATTGATTAGATAAATGAGACAGAGAAATTGAGATACATAATACTCATGGGAGATGAAGAGCTGATTTTTCCGAAAGAAGTTTGCTTCACAGAAATCATGTTTTTCGTGATTTTTTGAATAAGAAATTTGATCATAGTTAACAGGTTCTTTAGATGCAGTGCTAGCTCTCTCATTTTTGTTCGAGTCATCGTGTTCTTCTGGTTTACATATATATTGTTCGTTAATCTATAATAGTAAACAGGTTCTTTAGATGCGGTGCTAGCTCACTCATTTTTGTTCGAGTCAAAGTGTTCTTCCGGTTTACATATATATTGTTCGTTAATCTATAATAGTTAACAGGTTCTTTAGATGCGGTGCTAGCTCACTTATTTTTGTTCTCCATCGTGTTCTTCTGGTTTACATATATATTGTTCGTTAATCTATAATAGTTAACAGGTTCTTTAGATGCGGTGCTAGCTCACTCATTTTTGTTCGAGTCATCGTGTTCTTCTGGTTTACATATATATTGTTCGTTTATATATAATGCATTCAACATATTGTCTTGCTATTGGGATGTAATCCTTCGCGAACATATGCATTTTAGCTCCAGCCTAGTTAGGATGCTTCTACAAGAATTGCCCTTTAATCTTCAGAGCTTATAAGGTGGTTAAGACATATACGAGTTTTAGATTCCTAAGGCAACAGTGAATTCAAGTTCTCACTTTCTGATACACTGTTTGAGAAGTGCATATATATATATATATATATATATGTGAAGGCAGAAATGATAAAGTTTGTCTCTTTCTCTGTATTACTTTCACAGTAAATCATTTGGCTAACTTTGAGATTTTGATATTTTTGACTTGTTAACATGAAGCATGCAAAATTAATTCCATATATTGGTGGTTAACATAATATTGAATTAAGAATTGCGGTCCAGAAATAAAAACCAAAAGAAAGTTAAACTCTCTTCCAATACATAATATTGAATTAAACTCTCTTCCAATCATAGGAAACTTTTAGAGGAGAGAGGGAGGGAGGAATGTGGTTTTTTAGGGAGCAGTAATACTCTCTTCCAATACACAAACAAGCTGAAGAGACAAATGGAACAAATTGTATGTGAGGGTAATAAAAAAAGATAGAGTTTGACATCTTCTTATGTTTGCTGTTCATCAGATGACCTCTTCAATAGAATGGAGTGTGAATCCTTTTGCGAAATCACCAAACTGAGTTCATTTAACTGAAAATTTTCCTTGTTCTCAGTGGAACTTACCAACTCAAAGACGGTAGATTCCCTGAGCATCTTGTAGTGTCACTTGAATCAATAACATCAGTCTATTTAGAAGAAATGGCTTCCTTAAACTACCAAAATCAGCAGCCTAACATGATTACATGGTTGGTATTACCAAAGTGATTGTAGCCATCTTCTATGTATTCTACTATCAAATAAAAGGGAAAAAAACATGCATTAAGCTTCAATTTGACAGGAGGTAACAGTGAAAGATATAATCATTCCATCATTATTATTGGAGGAAAAGATTGTCTTTGTGAATCTTTAATTATAACTTCAATTGTTGTCATTGTTTTAATTTCCAATATCACATACATATACAAAACAAATTTGGAGCTACAAGAGACAGTTGTTTGAAATAATAAATTATTTTCTATAATCCTTTTATATATTCTCGTCTTCATCACGAGGGACTATTGGAAAATTATAGTTCAACCACAATTTTCTTTCATGTATATTTAATTGACATTCCTCCATCAAAGATGATCAAATCCAATCAAAAATATATTTTATTTATATTGGAGATGTAAGCTTATTCTTTTTCTTTCCTCAAAAAAGAAAATGTTAAATATAGTGTTAACCACATAACCTTTAATTCCCATGTGAAATTTTATAAATTACTTAAATCTTATTTATCGATGAGAAGGAGATGTCATATTTGAATAGTCATATCCATTAAAGACTAGGACTTGATATATATATATATATATATATATGTTTTTGATGAAAGCTATCCTTTCTATTCTACAAAATTTAAAATCTCAATACAATATGTTATATATAATAACAAGAAGAGATCTCTAATATCATCACTGATACAATGTGTTTTCAATAAAGTATATATCTCTTGATCAAGTTCTTAAGGCCATAGAATCTTTGTTTACATCTTCTGAAGGTTTCAGCTGTATCAAGAGATCTCTGATAACACAAAGGAGGATGCAGGGATTGATGAGTCTAAAATTTCAGGTTTTGAACAAACCTATGGAACAATTTCATTAAATATAGGCATGACCTGAACACTTGAATGAGATTGTGTAATGATGCAAGATGAACAATGAATCTTCCCTTGCAAAAACCTCAAAACCCAAAATGGTTGCCTGTCGTAAACATTTCAAATGAACATTGGTAGGAATGCCATGAGAATGCTCAAACAGTAGAATTATTAGACAAAGTGCACACTGAATGATGGAGACCATTATGGCATGATACTAAAGTAGCGTGCAGATGGACTCTCCTGAAGAACCTCGTCACATATGGAATCTGCATGATGGAGACCATTATGGCAACGGTGGATGTTTGTTGGTAGGATGTGGGTACATAAACCAACAGACCATAATCATCAATCACCATTAGGGCACTACATTTTGATATCCGAAGGCACATTTATGAATATTAGAGGCTTAGGATCAAACAAATATTTCTCTTGAAACATACAGGGCAAGTGATGAGCATGCTTTCATGATACTTAGACATCTCATATTGTCTTGTGGCCCATCTGGCAAATCATGCAACAACTGAAATATGGAACAAATATACAGCACAAATCCGCGTCGATGAACATTGACCTGCATAATGCAACAGACTGTAAAGCAGACCCTCCATTGCTCAAAGCTAAGGTCTCCTGACTAGGAAAGGATTATATCAAAACTAGTACCCTTGCAGTAGATAAACATACCAGTAAAGACAAGCCGAATTGCAGTAATCATTCCATCCTTCAAGGATCAGGAGGAGATTGGGAAGGAGCAGCGACAGGTGGGGGAACAGGAGCTTGCTTATTCATGAGAAGAGGAGAGAGAGCTTTCACCACAATACTCATATTGGGCCTAAACTCTGCTTCATACTGCACACATAGAGCTGCCACTGCTGCCAACTGCAGGAACAAATTAAATCTAAATTTATCATTATGGAACCTTTTAGTGCAAAAGTCCTCTGTGCCAAATGACACATTATTCACAAGAGTAATACAGACCTTTGCAACCCCTTTTGGCGGATAATCTCCCTTCAATCTTGGATCTATGCATTGTTTGACTTTGTCCTCACTCAATCTTGGAGTCGCCTATGATACGGAAAAATAAACAGTACACCATTAGAGACATATCTAGATATCAAAGAGTGATGCTTGACTTTCATTTGACAGTACCAGCACATGCATAAAACAACCTCAATGTCCAACCACTTCCAAACAAAAGCAACACTCACAAGTGCAAGAAAACAATGAGACAACAAAACAGCTTAAGCAATATGGTAATCCAACACTAATGCAACACTGGTTGTGTGGCAGAGAAAGCATAGAACAACAAACAAGAATTGGCCTGCTTGCCAAGAAGCAGGGAAGAAGCAATATGTATACAGAACATGCCATCCATATGAATAACTTGTTAAAGAAAAAAACCAATAAAAATACTCAGTTTCCGCTGATGCCAGCCAATTATGTCCAAATTCCCACAATAAGGATCAAACTTGACTGTTAAGTTATACAAGTTATTATAATTGAAGGAGCATCAGATAGATATACACTATCATGTCCTATATACAGCTAGCATTCTTGAAGGAATGGTTTAAGCAACAGGAAAGTGTCTGCAATTAATGTATCACTGAAGGAGCATCAGAAAGATATCTACACTATCAAGTTTCGGGAAAATGATTATGATATAATCAGTGTGAAATGGATAAGATTAACAACTTAATGGTGACCTACTAGATAGCAGGTAGAAAATAAATTCATGCATTTATTTCCAAATATATTTCAACAAATGATCATTTTGACAAGCCCCATTCCATACATTTCAACAATAAGTAACGGGAAAGTGCCTGCAATAGTCTTTTATCAAATATACAAAGCAGTCAACTGCTTATTGTCACATGAAAATCACTTTTGGGTGAACTATATCCAAGTTTCTGAAAAATATTATGATATAATCAGTGTGAAATGGATAAGATTGACAACTTAATGGTGACCTAGTAGATAGCAGGTAGGAAATAAACTCATGCAGTTCTTTCCAAAATATATTTCAACAAATGATCATTTTGACAAGCCCCACGCCATATATTTCAACAATAAGCAATGGGAAAGTGTTCGCAATAGTCTTTTATCAAATATACGAAGCACCCAACTGCCTATTGTCACATGAAAATCACTTTAGCAAGAACTATAATCAAGTTTCTGGAAAACAAATGCGAAATGGATAAGATTAACAACTTAATGGCGACCTATCAGATAGAAGGTAGGAAATAAACTTATGCATTTGTTTCTAAATATATTTCAACAAATGATCATTTTGACAAGCCCCAAGCCATATATTTCAATAATAACCAATTGGAAAGTGCTTTCAATAGTCTTTTTATCAAATATGCAAGCTTATTGTCACAAGAAAATCACTTTGGATGAACTATAACCAAGTTTCTGGAAAACGATTATGTAATCAGTGCGAAATGGATAAGATTAACAACTTAATGGTGACCTACTAGATATCAGGTAGGATATAAACTCATGCATTTCTTTCCAAATATATTTCAATAAATGGACATTTGGACAAGCCCCATGCCATATATTTGAACAAATGATCATTTCTTTCCAAAT